CGATTGCCGACCCGGACTGCCAAGCAGACAGTCAATCCATTTGGTGACTCCTCTGACTCAGAGGATGAGGAGGAGCCACAGGAAGCCGAGGCGGTGGCGTTGGCGGCGGCGGAAGAGAAGGCGACTGCCCGACTGGATATGATCCTAGACAGACGGGAAAGAGGGAAGGCGGATGGGGGCAGCAAAGAATCGCTAACCGGTGGCGTGCACACGCCTGCGGAGGAGGAGAGGCTATCAAAGCGCGAAACCCCTCTTCACCTTGCTGCCCGTCTATCTATGCACAAATTACTCTACTTATATATCAAAGAAGGAGGTAATTTACTCCTCTCTGTTTATTTCAAAAGGTTTTTCTGAATTAGCTTTTTGAATAGCAACTTCAAATGCAGGAATTGAGTTTAATTTTGGAATTGTCAATCCCGCGAAAAGAAAAAGGTTCGATCACTGGGACAGCACTTATTCGCCCGAGGTTTCGACATCCGTCGCGGATTCTTCATCATGAGCAGAAAGCAAAAGCAGCAGTCCCAGCGATCGAATTTTCTCCTAAATTTCTTCCTGGGATTCTCACGTTCGCTTGTATTGTCAATTCCTTGTCGATAAATCCGAAAACTTTCGACGCATGTTCATTTCAGTTCAGTTTTGTTAAAGGAATGAGAGGTGAATGCCTTTAAGCTCCCTATTAGTAACACAGTGGATGAGAAATGCATAGATAAGGAATAAAATTCCAAGAAGAGGTCGTTTACGTAATTGCAGGCTAAAAGCGAACAGCCTTCGGTTAGTCAAAAAAGAGTAAACATACACGCCTACTAACTTATCACGAGTAGTATAATTACGTGTAAATCGTATGATTGCATAGATTAGCGTGGATCCGCCGAATGACAAAATTTAATGCTCTTAAATGAAATCACACAGGTGGAGAAAAGAACATTTTCGGGCAGGGCGTTCCACGCTCCAATCACTCTGTTACTGAAGAACATCTCGCGTCCATCGATCTTTGGTTTGCTTCGACGTAGTTTTAGCGGATGACCGCGTAAAGTGGGCGTGTTAGCGTGAGTAGAAAAATAATCGGAGACAAAGCAACAATCTGCATCATTCATAACGCGGAAGATTAATATGAGATCCCTCGTAGTTTCCTATATGATAGGGGAAATAGTTTGAGGGTCGACGGTGTTCCCAGGTTTTTGGTCCTTTCGTCTCCCACCTCTGGATTTTCTCTAAGAGGGTACATTCTTTAATAGTCGAAAGTCTCATCTCTGT